TATGTATATATAATATATATTTATATAGAGAGAGACATGCACACATAACTTTATACAGAGATATGATAACTTGCTAAAGGTAAATATGCAGTTAACAAAGTATATCATAGTAAGGAGTATACACGTAATAAATGCCCAATCACGTGTTAAAAAAATAACTATTTTATTATTCTCCACATAATAAGATTGAATATTCAAAGTAAACACAGCTTCACTTTATCTGCCTTCACTTAGGTGAACAGAATTTACCCTTGTAGTAAATCAACCCCAATGACTATGTAATGAATGGGGTATTTTATGTTATCATTTCCATCAATTAATTAAAAAAAAAAAAGTTTAATGCCCAAAAACTGAGCCATACAAATCACACAATGAAATGTAAATCCCTTTTTGAAGTGACAGGGTTCTAGTAGAGGTCTCTTGGCCCTCATTTGTATAAGCTGACTGGTTATTCTGTATGTGTTTGTGGATATTTTAGTTTTCTTTAGTTTACATCGATGAGTTTATTGCGTGCAATGCCTTTTCTTGCCTTTTCATATTTCTCTCCCCAAAGGTAACCAACCTCCTTTATTGTCTTTGTTTGTACAGTTTGTAAAACCTGCATTGTGCATTATCTGGAGACGAGCAAATATTGCCCCATTTGTGATGTTCAGGTGCACAAGACCAGACCCCTGCTGAATATCAGGTAGGCACCGTGGCTTTGTTTGAGAAAGGTGCTGCTTTTCCATGGCTGTGTGTCTGTTGTGAAGGTTTCAGTCTCCATTGTTCCATGTTCCTAAGGCAGCTATGGTCAAAGTCCTTTTCCGATGGAGCAGGCCTATCATTTGTCCGGCCACTAACCCTGTTCCTCCCTCCTGTTTCCTTCCAGGGCAGACAAAACCCTTCAAGACATTGTGTACAAGCTAGTGCCAGGGCTTTTCAAAAGTAAGTATGGAATATAGATTTATTGGTGGTTTTCCTCCAGACACGAGTCGACCACCCCTAACGCTATCTCTGCCTTCTTGTAGATGAAATGAAACGCCGCAGAGACTTTTATGCAGATCATCCTACTGCAGCTGGTAAGTTGGCCATCTTTATCTTGCACAGGACAGGTCCTCTTCAGGGCTCCTTCCCTCACAAAGTGGTTGTTGCATTCCCTTCTTCTGCACTTTTTGGAAACTTGTGATATTCTTCTTCTGTTCCTGATCATATCGATTTCATATTCAAACTCTATGCTTGGTGTAGTCGGATCATCGTTCTAAGGGGACCTGTCTTGCATATGTAGCTCTTGGTGTTAGGATTAGGATGTGCTACAAAGTTCCCTCGGAACGATAATAATGATTTCTGTTCAGTGTTCTAAAACTGCTGACTTTTTACTGCTGACTACTCGGCAACGGCAGAGGCAAACTTAAATACTGTTGCATGCTGCTTTATTCTTAATAGTCATTCTATAAAGTGAAGTAACCATATGGGTCCTCTGTAGTGATTTGTCTTTCTGTTCATTTAGCGGCAAATGGCTCCAATGAGGACCGGGGGGAGGTGGCAGACGAAGACAAAAGGATCATTACAGATGATGAGATCATCAGTTTATCCATCGAGTTCTTTGACCAGAACCGGTAAGTTCTATGACGTGTTGGCTGTGTTGAGTGATGTAAATGGCACAGATTTGGGTGGAAGGGGTCCTAACTCTTTGTGTGTTCTCAGGGTGGACCATAAAGGAAACAGAGAGAAGGAGAAATCGAAGGAGGAGGTAATTATCGTCCAATCGCTGATTGTAAAACTGTATGTCCTGTAATGAATGGAGAGGCTTTCATAACCGATTCATAAACTCGGGAAAGTCAATAAATACCATCAATATAAACAGGTAATAATGTCTCTTTACAATTCTACGGATCCCAAACCAAACCCCACAATTGGATGACGTTTTCACAATGTGCTGATGAGTCCGTTCAGAATATGTGCAATCCAAATCTTTCATACAATCCAGGCTCTATTCACAATGCTTTTAACACACAAATAGGTATCTTTATTTTAGCCATGTGACTAGAATGTTCAAATCTTATTGGTCTCCGCAGAAAAGAGCTGTCAATTTTTTTTTTTTTTGTAATTAAGTATCGTTACCCTGATGTATACCCTTGTGGATTGAATAGATATCGCAAGAACGTGTATTTTCACAGCTGAAAGGCTTTATTGTAACACTTTACAATATTCCCACTCCCTCTGCTCAACATGTCAGTGACTTTCCACTTTCAGCTGATGCAAAGTAACACATTGGCTGAAGAATGCTACAATGTAATAAATCCTGAAACCATCAGTAAATCCTTATAAACTGTTTTAAGGGACTGCGAATCTGTTCAGATTCGTTAGCATCTCATTACAGGGCCTCCACATTTCCAGGAGATATCTGGTGACCCGGTTCAGGAGATGGAGTTCTATATAGAATAGGACTTTATTATACTGCTATAGACTTTACAATATTCCTACTCTCTCTTCCCCATATGTCAGCGACTTTTCACTTTCAGCTGATATAAAGTAACACATTGGCTGGATAAATGCTACAATGTAACAAATCCTAAAACCGTCTAGAAATCCTTCTACATAAAGGGACTGTGACTCCAATTCAGATTAGTTAGTATCTGGTTATAGGGACTCCACATTCCCAGAAGATATCTGGTGACCCGGTTCAGGAGATGGAGCTCTATATGCAGTAGGACTTTATTATACCGCTATACACTTTACTGCTCCATATGTCAGCGACTTTTCACTTTCAGCTGATACAAAGTAACACATTGGCTGGAGAAATGCTACAATGTAACCAATCCTAAAACCATCAGTAACTCCATTCAGATTGGTTAGTATCTCATTATAGGGTCTCTACATTCCCAGGAGGTATTTAGTGACCCGATTCAGGAGATGGGGCTCTATATGGAACAGGACTGCATTGCTATACCTCTAGATTCTTCATATCTCTATAGGTTGAACTCGATGGACGTGTCTTTTATTTTTTTCAACCGGACTAACTATGTAACTATGTAACCTCGTCATTATATTACAATGCACACATTTCACTAGGATCACCCCGAAGTGTATTCTGTCCATAGCTTGGAGGTTTCCTTGTAACTGTCATTACATTACTAATCTGTCCCAAATGTTGCTCTTAGTGCATTTGTTAAAGTAAAACTGAGACATGTGAAGGCTTCTGTGGTTGGCCGCCTGTAATGTTACTCACATGCCATGTTGATCCTCTGGCTTCAGTGCCTTTTATGTCCCAGCCTCAACAATAGGTATATCTGGAAAATGTCAGACGTGTTAATTTGTATACTAGCTCTAAAGTCAAGTCCTATTCGTGTACAGCAATAGGAGGCTGTGCAACTATACAAGCTCGCTACATTGGGATTGATGTAGCTCATCGGATATAGAATGTGGCTGAACTGTGCGTGTGTGTGTGTGATCTCCCTTCCAGGCCAATGACAAGAGGTACCTGCGCTGTCCTGCTGCAATGACTGTGATGCATCTGCGGAAGTTTCTGAGAAGTAAAATGGATATTCCCAATACTTTCCAGGTATGGTGCCCCTGCAGTGTGGAGTGTGGAACGGTATATGTTCAGTGGCACCGATATCTGTGCTTTGTTGAGGTGGGGGAGGCTATTGTATGCTATGGGATTGGAAATATTTAAATTCCTTTAAGGGGCCCCTTGGATCTGAGCCCCGTGTCCCCGGGGATACATATTTTTTTTTAGAACATAGCTCGGGGCTATGTTGTACTCTGTGTGTGGGGCAGACGCTGGGGCAGGAAGGGTTAAAGCATTCCTGTCATTGTAACGGCGACCTCTTGTATTTGTATGGCATTCAGATCGATGTGATGTATGAAGAGGAGCCCCTGAAAGACTATTACACGTTAATGGACATCGCATACATCTACACGTGGAGGAGGGTAAGCATCTGCTGCTGGGGACTGGAAGGTTCCGCCTGGACTGGTCACATGACAATTTTAAAAAGTTTTCAAATATTGGACAACCTGTATGGGGTACACTGTCCATGAAGTCCCCATGCTGCCAGCAGTCAGACAGAGATGGAAGCATTTAAATCATTAGGACC